AGAAACTCACATTTCTTAACATTTAATTTCAGTTTAGATATTCACATACGGATTCTAGGTCTTTGTTTAAAGTCGTTGTCAACTCTTGAACATTGTTACTACTGAAATATAAAAACGTATCGTCAGCATACATTAATACCTTGTCCTTTCTTCCCTCAAACTGACGATATGTTTTTTACAGACGCCTAATGACGCCTTTGTAAAATGTATATATTCATAGACTATAGTAATTATAATATGTCTATACACCCTTTGCTATGGAGCGGCCAAAAACAGGGGTACAACGATTTTCTTCAAATAACCTTGGGTTAATGAACAAGAAGAAGATCCTAACTTCAATGCAAAGATACATCTTAGTTTGCAATAATCGATAAATGTAAATGCGGCCTCACCACATTCTATTGTATATATTTGGAAGGTACAATCCCTTGGCAGTCGATGTGCGTATTGTTCTGCACTCTGCACTATTAGACTAGGGCCCGTTGCATAAAACTTACCATTGATGGTAACTTTGCCATAAATGGCAACTAACATGGTAATAGGGCTCAACATCCAATCAAGATCAAGGGTTCCATGGTAGTTACCATGATGGCAAAGTTACCACCAATGGCAAGTTTGTGCAACGGGGCCCTGATCAGGCCTTTATGCAGATACATGTAATTTGTAGATAACTTTTGTTTGGGCTTGCAAGTCCCCTAATCATATTTTGTATTATATCATGAATAAAATAAATAATTAGGTCTTTAATTGAAGCGCATTGGGATGTTACATCATATAAATGTCATTGTGCTAATACAAGAATAGAATATTACCAATATAAATTTTTAGATACTCGAATTTATTATGATAACCGATAACAAACCTTCTTGCTTATAAAGGTGGACAAGCATTTGAGTTGGTTAATAAAGCCATTAGTAATACAGTATAGCCTACTATAGGCATTTGCAGATTCTTATAATGAATTGACGATGCTTTGGGTTTTTACCATACTGCTAGGAAAGCATGTGTATTATGTAGCTACTTGCGCCCTCTATATAACAAGCCATGCCTAATCGGTGACCATTGGTCCCCCATGATTCCTTTTTTTCTTATGTTAACTGAGAGCTGAGTTGATGAGATAACCACCTGTCAGTGACCTGCAGGGCCAGTCTAATCCCTCTTGTAAACTATGGGCGAGACACGCTTTAATATCGTCTAAGTTTGTTGCTTTATTTTGTACTGTTTGTATGTTTTGTACTTTGCGTAGCTTTGACCCCTAAAACCAGCGATATTATCATGTAGTTATTGCTAGACAGGGCTGTCCATCCGTGTTTATTATACATGTAGGCCTACGTAACTATAATTGCTAAATACAGATGCAGGCGGCGGATCCAGGATTTTCCAATAGGGGGGGGGGGGGGGGCCGGGAATTTGAAAATTGCGCAGACAGTTTTTCAACTCAACATACCAATACTGACAAGGTCATATTAGAAGCACCATAACGGTAATTTTTTTTGACATTTTCATCGGGGGGGGGGGGGGTGGGGGCTGAAGCCTCTTGCCCGAAAAAGTAATTTTCTAGTTTCACAATCGGCTAGTGAGCAAAGCGAGCGAGCAAAAATTTGAGAATATAATGATGTTTTTGTGAAAGTGTTATTTATCACCAAATATACGAGAAAAGATATAACAAATTCATATTCGGGCAGCTCGCTGTCCCCTCCCCCCTCCCCCTCCCCCCCCCCCCCCCCATTACGCGCGAAGCGCAGAAGCTTTAATGTTCATGAAATTATTAGAGAAAGAAGAGGATTCGTTGTACCGTTCTCGGTTGTTAATCATTGTCTGAATTCAGTTTCCATACCCCCTCCGCGCAAAGCACGGAAGCTTTGACGTTTCATTAAATCATTAGAGAAAGAGTACCGTTCTCGACTCTTAATCCTTGTCTGAATTGAGTCCCCCCCCCCCCTTACCTGTCCCGCGCGAAGCGGGAAGCTTTGACGTTCCATTAAATTATTAGAGAAAGAAGACGATTCGTTGTACGTTCTCGATTCTTAATCATTGTCTGATTCAGTTTCTATACCCCTCCCGCGCGAAGCACGGAAGCTTTGACGTTTCATTAAATCATTAGAAAGAGTACCGTTTTTGACTCTTACCCTTGTCTGAATTGAGTTCCCTCCTCTCCCGCGTAGTTTTGTGTTATCGGGCGAGGGCCGGAGCGGAGCGACCAAGCGAGATTTTGCAATGTAGAATGCTAAAATTATGCATTGGTCCAATATGTACGTTCTTCCGATACATTGTATTTCTTTCTAGCTATATATCTAAATTTCCGGGGGGACGTGTCTCTCTATCGGGCCCAGGATCGCCGCCGCTGTCTTTATCACTACCCTACATGAGTTCAAAATAAGCACAAGCGAGTTGGTATGAGCTGAATCCAAATGAAGGGCAAAATAAGAGTTGTGAAGCGGCCCTACCGTTAATTTAAAATTTGACTATTTAGTATATAGCTTCTATTTGAAAGACATCCAAAACATTGTGCCCTTTTCAATTTTTTTTCAAAAAGCAGGGGCTGTTTGTAACGTTTAACTTTGAATCCGTGGCTCGAAATTTTATGCGGCCGGCCCGGCCCCCTCTATCAATAACGTTTCCCAAGCCTTCTGGAATGACCCCAAATCTCCCGATTACTGTCACTTAGCGCCATTTCCTTGTCTTTTTCCCCCCTTTTCACCCGACTTTTCTCTTCTCCCCTTCCCAACCCCACCCCCACCCCCACCCATTCAGTGTTATCTAGGGTATGCGCATGTATGTTCCCTCTCTGAGTTTGAAAGCACCCCTTTATCTTCGGTGTGTAGAGTCAGTGCGGGCCGGATTTGTGTGTATTACAGGCCGGACTTTGTTGCGTGAAAAGTAACCCTTTATCGGAAATTTTGGGAACACAAAATCGGTCCCTCCGACCCCGGAGTGGGAGTGAGGTGGGGGGGGGGATCCTCTTTTTTTTTTCTCTCTCTCTCTCTCTCTCTTCTTTCTTTTCTCTTCTCTTTTCTTTTCTCTTCTCCTTTCTTTTCTCTTCTCCTTTTTTTTTCTCTTTTTTTTTTGCGCCGCCAATAGGGGGGGGGGGGCCGCGGCCGTTTCGGCCCCCCCTGGATCCGCCACTGCAGATATGGATGATACATTTTGGTTTTTTTATGTTTCATTTTTTTTTATACTGAAAATAAAATACTACTTCTACTACTACTACTACTACTACTACTACTACTTCTACATGTGATGCTTTTGCAAGGGGAATTAGGGCATACCTACTTGGTTTCGAACCTGGGACCTCCCGGTTACCATATCAATGCGCTACCTCTGAACCATTGCGAATCCGCTATAATTGCTGAAGATTTCCCTTGTCAAGAGTTGTAAGAAAGATAAAGACAAACAATTATTATTGTTACGTCATCCACCATTGCAACCACTTCAATCAAATGTTTAGTTTTATTCATGGGAACCTAAAAATTACAAGCTGAGCTTTTTAATAGGTCCTCACAATTCACCCTGTATAACCTCCTACTCAATACAATTAATTTTCGACGTCTTTTCAAATAATTAATTATTATATAATGTGACACTTTTAGTATATTTCATATTATGTTCTAATTTTGTCAATTTTGTGAATTCTTTTTTGTGAAATGTGAAACAATTAACACGTGAAATAATCACGGAACTCATTTGTTTTAATTCGTCTCTCATTTATAAATAATCTTCCTCCTTCTTACAATCCTTGATATGCCTATACAAGTTTGAATCATTTCTTTAATGAACTTTAATCTAACAATGACCTCCAAATTCTGCTTGGTTTCCTCTAGGCACTATGTACATGAATACCACCATGAACGTTAAGACTCTGTGGACTCGTATGACCATCGTAGGTGGCGCCCTGTTAATGATAGTGCTCTTCAAAGCTTATGTTGAGCTGAGGCTTTATCTGATCTCTCTCACCTATTCTGAAAACAAATATGTCGCAGCCGTGGGCAGAGTTCCATACCGAAATGAAACAGTCCGACCCCAATCGATTGATGATTACTACGAATATATACCAGAATTAGAAGATCTTAAACTAAGCCCGGATGTTATGAAGACAGCAGCAGTTAATCGGGATATCAAATCTGATAGTGACGCAGATACATCATGGATGAGGAAGATGTTGAGTAATAAGACAGCTAGAACTACGTTCGAGGCCAATAGGTTGTTGTACAAGCTCCAGGATTCGGCTCTTCGTAACTCCAGCACTGATTGCGTCATCAAGATATTGCAGATGTGTAGGGAGTCGTGCCTGCAGCGTACTTCCAAACACTTCTGGACGAGATCAAAATGTAAGTTCTCCAACTGTCGGATTGAGATGAAGGTTGGGAACGACCTGGCGGACTTTCAACAGAGTGACGTTGTGATCTTCCACATCGATAAACGAACCTGGGCATCGCTAGTCAAACCCGGTTGCCTGGGCAGCTCTGGGTGTTCCATTCGAAGGAAGCTCCTATCCATGGACCACCGGCGAGCCCTCCAAGAGAGTTCGGTAATCCTTTCAATATCTCGATCTCTTATATGAGCGAGTCGGACATCGCTCCTGGATACTACTACCTGGACACAGAGCAGAAGGACAAAGACCCGAAGGTTCTTCGAAAGGAGAAGTTGATGTTATGGGTTGCGAGCAATTGCAACGACACTAGCTGGGCCAGGAGAGATTTTGTGCAAGAACTCCAGACGTACTTGCCGATCGACACCTATGGTCTATGCGGGCATCTGGACTGCCCCCGCTCGGAGAAAGAATGCTGGGAAATGCGGGGACAATACAAATTCCACTTAGCTCTAGAAAACAGCCAATGTCCAGAGTACATCACTGAAAAGCTCTGGTTTAACTCTCTCGCCGTCGGCACCGTTCCGATTGTGTTCGGAGCGCCGAAAGCCGATTACGAGCGACTGACTCCGCCTCACTCGTTCATACACCTCGATGACTTCAAGACCGTTCAAGAGTTCATCGACTACATCCATCTCCTGGATCGCGACCAGCAAAAGTATCTGGAGTACTTCTCGTGGAGAAGGTTAGGTCACGTGATGAAGGGGTCAACCATGTTGACCAATCACACTGCGGATAACGGAAAGATCTTGTGCTTTATTATCAGGACTTTGCTCATAAAATCATTGTTTCCAGAGATGTACCAGTGGCAGGCTCGCCATCCTGTGTTCTACGATTGGTGGTACGGGATGTGTAGGGAAGATACGCAGAAAACACGCATTATGGATATTGATGTAACCATGAAAACAGATATTGCAGTCTAAATGCTGTCGTGAATGTTATGCACTTGCATTATAGAGACAAAACTAAACTAATCATTGCCTCCTGAAATAAAATGTTAATCTGATCAATTATGATGGTATCAAATTCAAGATAATGTGTATATTATCATAATTGTTATTGTTATTATCATATTTCTATCATTATTATAATTTCTATCATTATTATCGCTTCTATTACCATTATCATTGCTATTATCATTATTATAATTTCTATTTGTATTATATATTAGCGTCATCGTCATCGTCTCCATCATCACCATTATTACCGTTTTTACATGAATAGTCGAATGTTTAATAAACCTTGTCCAATTCGTTCCTGTTTTCACGAAGTGACGGTAGTGAGGAAAATCCGCACGCAAATTGTATGGGATTATCATTCACTACCGTCACTTCGTGAAAATAGGGACGAATTGTTTAAAAAGGAAATTGCCTTTCATCTCGATTGAGAAGCTAGGGCAAAATTTGGGGTAGATGTTTTAATAAAAGGAAATAACACATAATTTCGATTCTGTATAATAATAATTATGCTCAGAAATATGAAACTCTATTTTCTTTGTAGGTATTCAGTATTATTCTGAAAAAAGGAATGCTTCTTCTAGTTTTTGGAAGAAATAAATGTGTAGTACGGTAATAGTTTTTTTTATTATGTAATTGGGATATATTTTAATCCTATACATTGTGAAATTATAAACCATGAATTATGTTGTATTTATGTTCGTTTTATCCAACGATAAAAAACGCTTTGTTGTAATTATGTTTCAGTTTGTATAAAAACTAGGACTATGGAAATACTTTGCTTCTATGTTATGTACAAAAAGGAATTGGAGTTTTGAAAAATAAATTATTATAAATGAATACAACAAAATAGTTGAAAGTTTGAAGTTTAAACATCAGGTAACATATGGCCAAGCTAGGTAAGTATTTCAGAATTTCAAAGGATCGACTCCATTTGTTTAATGTTCAAACCTTCCAGGAGAAGTCCTGCCGCGGCGCTAAAGTCCTTTGGCAAGATATTTGCCACTCTCCACCAGGTGTACGGTAAATGGTTACCCGGTAGGATGAAGCACCTTATCGGAACCGCTCGGCTAGTATATAACTATTACGGCGCCTACAATATCAAGCGCTGTGTGAATATTATCATTATTGCTATTATGGTAATTGTTGTTATTATTACTATTTTTATTACTCTGATTAATTATCATTGTTATTAGTGTTATTATTATTATTTTATCATTAGTACGTAATGCGCCTTTTTCATATTCGCACATTTCAATAAGTGACGCACAAGCATATGGCTCCGGTTAGTCTCATTTCACAACGCCCCCTATCGTCAGAGCATGATCTGAGTCGGCAGCCTAACATGTTAGCCTATGGACGTTTTTTTTTAAATCGTTAAAAATTCATTTTTTGTTTAAACGAAAAGCACATCCACCCCGACGTACGTTATCACTAGCTCTTTCATTGGAGCCCTCATGTCTCATTGACTTTTGAAAGTTCACCCACCGTAATTTTTCAAAATAGGTTGCAAGCTCGTCATTGCCTATAATACACATGTGAAACAAGTCTAACTTTGGACTCAGTTTACCAAGCGATTTGAAGATTATAGGTCGAGCACACGAAACATAAACAGCATGAATTATCATAGATCACTTCTGCCTATTTCATTATGTCCATTTCATCCAACCCCCCACCGTAATTTTTCCATTTAGTAAAAGCAAACATTTTGCCGAGTTTAGCAAAAACATGAATATTCATGAACGGTCAGACAATACAGCCTTTATAGTACGTAACGTATAGTGAATGGAATGGGCGATGATCCGTTCAGGAGGCAGAGGTCAGTAGTTTGTGCTGGCAATGTTCACGCGAGCGAAAATGAGACAGTCGGAGCAATATGCTCTTTTGGAATTGCCTTGAAGATATATGTCCCTTTTGCAGCCAACATCAAATTCTGTAGAAATTTGCAAGAATTATGAATATATAATGTTTGATCTATCTGTGAAATATAAACGTTAGCAGTGTCCTAATATTCAAATTATGCAAGGAAAACCCGTTTACTTGCTAGACTTCACTGTCAGACGCTATTGAGTGACTGACTGGCTTGTTTTCCTGCTTTGGTAATAACATACATAAAATTAGCTGTAAATGGTACATGAGCATTTGTCTATATATCAATAACTCACTTCTTGTATTGGCCAAAACTAAATTGATTGAATATTTGCACAGCATAAAACGTACAATTGGTACAATGGTCTGAAAATGAGACTATTATTTACTGTATTGGTATCACTTAAGTCGCTTCGAAAAATTAGGTCCAATTTTTCTAGCGATTGTTAATGACGTTAATAATCCATCTTTCCAGAACTCAACTACCTTCAGATATGTGGATCACCTGTCAGTTGTTGAATGTAATGCAGGGCTCCCACTTAGCCGAGTTGGAGCCTCGAGTTGTGGCGAGCTGGCGCGAGCTTATGGCAAGCCGCGTTTTATCTCTCCCAGTTGGTAATATTATTAGATACCATTGTATCAATTACCATCTTTATGCAGATGACACCCAATACTTCCTTCAATCCCAAAATCCCAGGAGACTTAGTTGTTGCTTTTTTTAGACTTCAAAATTGCATTTCAGATATTGGAAATTGGATGTTAGTTAATAAATTGAAGTTGAATGACTCAAAGACAGAATTCTTTGTAGTAGCCTCACCTCACAGTTTACGCAATCTACCAGATCTTAAGCTAAAAGTTGGTGATATATTCTTAAGCCCTTCGATCAATCACTGTTAAGAATCTAGGTGTTCTCTTGGATAGAGAAATGTCAATGTCAGATCGCGTCCCTCAAATATTATGTACTAGATGATTTGAACCTTGAATCTCTCTCTGATTGCTTGTCGTTCTTCCAAAAGACCTTACTCTACACTGATCAATTTAACAGTATTTCCCTCCGGAAAATAATTTAAGAACATTAAGACGTAAACCTCAAATCCCTGAACTGAGATGTAAAACTAAACAAACGCAAAATAGTGCAATTCCTTACCTCATCCGTGCACTTAACCAAAGAAAACGATGAATGATCCTCCTTTTCTTGTACCCTTCAGGCTTGGCAATTTCATCATCTTTTTGTTTTGATTTGCTTTGTTGTTCTTTGACACCCCATATGGAAAAGTTTTGGGTGAATTCGTTCATAAAATGGATTGGTCACCGAGCCGGTCAACTCTGCACAGAGCTTCGCACCAAGTGCCGCAGTGTGCACTGGCGCGTAACACAGAGGGTCGACTGGTCCCTGGGTGCGTCCATTATGACAAAATAGGGAGAATGGGTCTTGTTCATAACATAAACATAAAACAAGGACGATTGCATTTGCATGTTTATGTCTTTTAATGAAACTCTAAGACGACACAAAAACAATAACAAGACTTTAAAACTGTTGAAGAATGAATTCATATCGATAATTCAATATCAAGGAGTTCACTAATTATAATATCTAACCCCACAATCAAATGGAATATTCCTCTCTCACGGTCTGAGGTTTACGACGAACAATTTTACAAAATCCTTTGTGTTTCTTCTTGGTCACTGGCAAATTACACAACAAATCCATGATGTATCACCATTTAATTATCATTACTACAGTCTACATGTCTTCTTCTTTCCATATTTAAGGTTGAAACTCACATATTGATAGAAATAACTACACAAAATGGACCGGTTCGGAGAACATTCCGAGAGGAGACGTGCCGTTTCAAATCACATGCAACGCAAAAGTTCGCACGCTAATGTGTACGTCTATGGAACTCGTGTAGTGTGGCATATTTCATGCTCTTGCGCAAAAAGGAGCATGTATAAGAGACAGCAAATCATTGGATGCAAAAGTGCAACCTTTTCCCCTTATCCAATCAAAATGAATGATACATAACTGGAATCGTTAAACCCTCAGCTTCAATTTGATATGCGAGATGGTGCAATTCGGCCATCGTATCAGTTCTACAGCCAAGATGAGTATGGAGAGTTGACGAATTTTTGGCGAAAATCGGTTGACCTCCATAGAGAAAGTGTCGTGAAAGGTTTTTTTGGAACATTTTTAAGCAAAAAGTGCAACCTTTCCCCATGAATGAAATTATTTCAAATTTATATCATAATAAAGAGAAAACATTGAATTTTAAAACACCGGCCGAGATGGTATTAAAAGTGGGTTCAGTTAGGCTGTTGCTGTGATTTAGCGTAGGAAATGCATGAAATGGTAAGGAATTTCACGTGTTTGTAGCTCACGGTGCGATGCGTGCGGAGCAGATGAACGAAAGTTTTTCATATGCTCTTTTTCTTCTTTTTCTTTCCCTCCTTCTTCTACTTCTTTTGTTCTTCTTTTCCTTTCCTTTTTTCCCTTGTATTTCTTTTTTCTTTATTTCTAGGCTTATTTCTTCCTCTCCTTATTTTTTCGTTTGTTCTTCTTTCCCTTCTACATTCCCTTCTTCCTTCATTCTTTGATTTTATTGCCTTCCCTTTGTCTGTGTTTACACTCCTACCATGTTTGTATTGTTTTTGTTTAATGACATTTTATGTATTTTAAAACTCAATTTTCCATAGTTTTACCATATGGAATTTAACTTTTTTGGAATTTAACTGAATCTATCATGACAAAGTTTACCACCCTCTTCACCCCATCTCTTGTACACTTTAGGCATGGTTATATATTTCCACTTTGTTTTGCTCTTTTATTATTTTAACTCTTTTATCTTTATCATCTCTTTCTTCTTCTTTTTCCTCTTTTTTTTTCTCCTTCCATTTCTTATTCTGCTTCATTGTCTTCTTCTTCGTATCCTCCTATGTGAATTTTCCATTGTCGCTTTCTACTACTTTTGTCTATACCTTTCCCCAGTGGCGTACCTGGGGTACTCCGTCAGGGGGGGCAAGCGACCGAAACAAACAAAAAAGGCGATGCTAATTTTCACTTCTGGCGAGCGAGCGGGCAAAAAAAAATCTTTAAGTAACGTTTGGTATATAAACTGGTATTGTTGCAAGTTGGGGTGGGAACATTCACTTGTTAGCGACGTTAATTTCATTTTTTTGCAAACAAGTGTAGCGAGCAAGAAAAAAATCACTTCTTTTTTAATAATTGCCACTTAAACTAGGTTCAATTGTCCCATGCAGGGCGCGGGAACAATTGTGTTTAGGGTGATTTTATACCCATTTTAGCTAGCAAGCGAAAATACATCTTTCTCTCAATGAATTGCTATATAAAATTTGTTTCATTGTTGCAGGTAGGGGGCGGGCACAATCGTGTTAAAGGCAATGTCGATCCCATTTTGGCGGGCAGGCAACCCCCTACATTTCTCTTTTTAATGATAGTGTAGTAGGTTAGTGGTGGGCACATAATTCCACGAGCTAGCGAGCGTAGCGAGCGAAAAAAAAAATCACTTTTCTTTTTTAGGGAAAATATGGTACATAAAACTTGGGTTCATTGTTCCATGTCAGGGACGTGATTATTAAAAGCAGTGTTATTTCTATTTTGGCGAGCGAGCGTAGCGAGCGAGCAAAAAAATTTACTTCTCTTTATAGGGAAAATATGGTATATAAACTTGGGTTCATTGTTCCATGTCAGGGACGTGATTATTAAAAGCGGTGTTATTTCTATTTTGGCGAGCGAGCGTAGCGAGCGAGCAAAAAAAATCACTTCTCTTTTATAGGGAAAATATGGTATATAAACTTGGGTTCATTGTTCCATGTCAGGGACGTGATTATTAAAAGCGGCGTTATTTCTATTTTGGCGAGCGAGCGAGTAAAATTTTTGTAATGATAATTGGTTCATAAATTTCAGATTTTTTTGTTGCAGGGCAGGGCTTACACAATCATGTCTAAGGTGATGTTAATTCCGTTTTGGCGAGCACGAGCACACCAAAACTTCTTTGAATAACGTTTGGTACATAATTATTAACTGGTTGTTGCAGGTTGGGGCGGACACGTTAGCAGTGTCAATTCCATTTTGGCGAGTGAGCATAGCGAGCAAGCAAAAAAAAAAAATTCTCTTTTAATAGAAATTAATAAATAAACTTGTTTTTATTGGTGCAGGTCAGGATGGACGCAATCGCGTTTAACGCGATTCAATTCCTTTTTGGCGAGAGGGCGAAAAAACTCTTCCATTTTTAATGAAATTGTTGCAGGTCAAGGGTGGGCACAATTGTTTCCAAAGCAATGTCTATTCATTTTATTCGCGAGCGAGTGTAGCGAGCGAGAAAAATGAATTAGTCTCTTTTAGTAACATTTGGTACATATTGTGTGTTATTGTTGCCATGGTTGCAGGTCGGGGACCGTCAGGGCAGGCACAATTGTATTCTAGGCAATACTAATCCTTTTCTTTTTTCAAGGGGACAAGCAAGTGAAAACATTTAATACAAAATAGGCTAGCAAGCAGTCGCGCCAGCGAAGAGTTTCAAATTTGTTATATCACTTATATTTTCCTATTTTCATTTGTTTTAATTTTTCAGGGCCGTATGCGGAATATTTTTCTGGTGGGGGAGGGGGAAAGATGCGTTAAAAGTTTTTGAAGAATTTAAAAAGCAAAAGGAGTGAAGGGAGTTCGAGCGACCGAACTGGTCATGAGGGTACTTTTGCATTTTCAAAAGTAGAATTGAAGGATTTGGTATAGGCCTATGCTACTTTTTCAGGAAAAAAAACTGTACGTTTTCAAAATATCTGGGGTCAACTGTCCCCCCCCCCCCCCTGGTGCGTACGGCCATGGTCTTTTTTTTAAAAAAATTTCCCCATTTTTATTCCTTTCCTTTTCTTTTCACTTTTTCTTCCTTTTCTCTTCTTCTTCCTTTTTTCTTTCCTTTTTTTTTCCTTTTTTCTCTTTCTTTCCTTTTTTCTTCCCTTTCCTTTTTTCTTTTTCTTTCCTTTTCCTTTCTTTTCTTTTCTTTCCCCTTTTTCTTTTTTTCCCCTGGAGCCCGTCAGGGGGGGCACTCTGCCCCCCCTGCCCCCATAGGTACGCCAGTGCCTTTCCCCCTCTCAGCCTTTACTCTTCCTCTTTAAATCTCTCCCACTCTTAATTTCAATAATTTATATTGTATTTGCAAACTCTTCAATTTTCAGTTTTACTCTCGTACTCTCGATATTTCCCACCACATACACTGCTCCGTTTACCGTTTATTGCTTACTTCAGTCCTTCTTCTTTCACATGATTTCAGTAGAACTATGTTACTTTATGCTAATTAATTTTGATTTCTTTCTAATTTGTGTTTTCATACGTTGCAATGAGCTATATTTCTCGTATTTATACTGATTTATTGTTCAAAATTATCTATATCGTGTTGTCTATATACTACATTATGTGTTATTAATTTTGTTTGTAAACTTTTGTAATTCGGCTAAATGCCGCGATGAAAATTTTATTTGAAATAAACCATTTTGAATTGAATTTAATTGAACAACTAATAGTGTTGTTTTTCCACTTAAAGACAATTTCAAGCTCCCTTTTTTAGGGAAGTTCTAAATTGGTATTATCTTTCAAATGCCGTTTGAATTTAATCTTTTTCATTTGTTTGGCCTGCAAATGGAAATCTAACCCCACGGGAATAACTTTATTTGTTTTGAGAGATTTATTGCATTCTAGCTCATTAATCTACAAGATTTCCCACCACAGTGGATGAGAAAGGCATAAAGCAAGACTAAAGTACAGTTTATCAGCAACATACGGGTATCACCATTTTCTTGATTGCAATCAACTAAAATTCACATGTATGGATGATTACATGTACGTCCCCCCCCCCCCCCCCAACATCAAACTCTGGCTACGTGCCTGCTTATAGGAGTCACTGAAAAGTGTTGTACCCTCTTTTTAATAAGTTGTTTTCCAAAGCTTTTTTCTTTCCTTATTGTTACTTCGACGTTTGTTTATGCATTTTATGTTTTCTAACGAACTTCCGATTCCAGTCCTTTTTAAACAGCATTTTTTTTTTTGCCCTAGAAAATTTAAAAAAATTGCACCCCCCCCCCCTCCTTGAGCGCCAGGGGGGGGGGGGGGGGGCATCTCCCCCAAAAGGTAAAATTAACGTTAAAAATGTAAAAATACACATTTTTTCCCAGGGGGGGGGGGGGGCTGGATCTGCCACTGCATTCTCCCACCCTGCGACCGCTGCCCAAGAATAATGTGTGCATTTTACAGATTTATATTTTCAATTTATTTATTTGACGACACCTTAACTAAAGCCGTCTGACAATTTTTGTGAAACTTGAAAGGAAAGACAGATTCTTGATCTCCGCCATGGCTGTTGCTGCAAATAAATCCGTTTTATTTGTTTGTCTCGGTGAGTATATATTCGTTTCCCTGAAAAATAGTCTCGCTAGTTATTAATAGGTCAATTTCGACCACATTTTACAGGTGCAGTTTGCCACTACTCTCTTACCTTAGCCCCACTAACCTAATCTTTTGTAAGTCCTGGGGGGTGTTTCACAAAGATCCTAAGTAGAACTTAACACTAAGTTGGACTTAAAAATTATGGACAGCCATTGGAGCCTTAAAATGAAATATACTCAAAAGCAGAAATTCAAGTATTTTAGACTTTTTTATAAATTCCACATCAAGAACATGAAATCTCCTTGATGATAGAAAATAGTCTAGATCTATGAATGATTTGAATCAACAATTTATGCCTTTCAAAATAACTTTTACAAAATATTTTCAAAGATGCTAACGGCTTTCCATAATTTTTAAGTCCAACTTAGAGATAAGTTCAACTTAGAATCTTTGTGAAACACCCCCTGAACTTCGTATTCATTGTGTGCATTTAATAGTGTGCAATTGTACGCAATGTGTGTATTGTGTGCAATTGCTGCCTCTCAGCACGTATACAGTGCTAGAGTAGAGATCAATACGCATTAGCATTGTCTCTATGCTTTGCTGGAGTGGGTTGAATCATAGGCCTACCATTTTGGTAATAGACCTAGAAATCTATGATTTTAAAAGTAAAATGGATAGAAATTTTGTAAACTTAGATCTAGCCTACTTTTAATAGGGAGGCCAATGTCCGGGCATAAGGATTCTACTACACCTACGATTTGTGCGCTCGCCGTCCACTTAAAAAATTAGCAGAGAGAAAAAAATGATGTAAAAATAAAAATTGATGAAAATAAGAAAAGAAAATACAATGATACATTTCACAACATAGATTAGATCTACCTATAATCACGGATCTGTAACTGTCTTTCACCATTTGTTGACGATCTTGCAGATTTTGACGTATTTGTATCCAATGATTTTCGTAGCAGAAGAACATGGCGAGCGCGCATCACCGACTAAGAAAATCCTAGAGGGTGTACAGGTTTGCTCACTAAAAACCTTCTCATTGGCAGAAGGTAGACCCTAAAAATATGGGATCCGTTTTGAGTAAAGAACTTTTGATAGAGATCAACATTTCAGATGTTCACAATTGTCACTTCTAACCACTAGAAAATATAAAGAAAAAAGATTATATTTTTTTAAATACAGATTTTTACAAACTGAACATTTACCTTTTACCCGAGATTCTGGAAGAATGCTGTGTTCTCAGCAGTCGGGCTTCCAGTTCAATTTCATTTTCTTCCTTCTCGTAGTTGGGTGTCTTCTTGGTAAGTGTCTGGCTCAGTTCTGCGTGGGGTATTCTACTCATATGGGGAGCAGAAACGCTTGTCCTTCCATACTCGATCCAGTCTGGCTTTAAAGGCATTCACCGTGGTAGCAGTGACTACCTCTTCAGGAAGTGTGTTCCAGTCATTGATGACACGTTGGCTGAATGCATCCTGTCTAATCTTCGTTGAGCATCTTTGTTTTACGATCTTTAGACTGTGGCCTCTTGTGTTGTGTTGTCTTGTGTTGTGTTGTGAAGGTAGATAGAGTATGATGTTTATGTCAATCTTGCGTTGGTTTGAGCCCCATAGCTACAGCCATCTCAAAATGAGAAGAAAAACAGTGAACAGTGATCTCATTGTTCTAGCCAAATACGGAGGTCTTAGAGTCCAACTTAGAGATAAGTTTGACTTAGGATCTTTGTGAAACACCCCCCCCCCCCAGGTAACATTTGCCGATCTGTGACAAGCGAGGCCCTCTTCAGGCAGCTGGCGGAAGAGAAGGGTTTCGCCTCGGACTGGAAGATCGACAGTGCAGCGACCTCGACGTACCAGATCGGAGATGAACCAGACTCCAGGACAAACCAGACTTTGGAGAAAATGGGACGCAAACGAAGCAAACATATTGCTAGACAGGTATTAGTTTCCTGAGAAAAAAAATAAGATATTCCTAACCCCCCTCCCCCCCCCCCCCCCCCTCCCTCCTAAAAATATAAAATAATAATATATAAAATGATATTATAAGTTTTAAAATCCTTAAATTGGCAACACATTGAGAGGTTCAAAATTATTGTTATAATTTTTTTTTTTTTTTAAATCAACTTGGCCACTTTTTCAATTTTTCATCAGTATTTACCCATGGCATGCATATGGTTTTCATAGAAGTTACACTTTATTAGAGTAGTGTAGCATTACAAGAAAGATGCCTTGTTGCCAATTTGAAGAACAAAATGTGATGAATTTAGCCCTTCAATATTTTTATTTTATCCCATTTGATAACTATAGTTCATGTGCCTTTTAAATAATATTTTTAATGCCATTTTTGTGGTTTTGCTTTTGTTTTGTCTTTGTTTCATATACATATATATATATACACATTTATTCTTTTTTGTAATGGGGTTTGCCATTAATAGGCTTTTAGGGATTTACAAATTCCACTGTATTTAAATTTTGTGTGTGTTTAATACTTGTTAATTTCTCTTTAGTGCTCTTTTTTGCAAAACTTCAGCTGAACTTTGGAACAAACTACCTTTTACCCGCAAAAACTGCCAGACTGTCAACCAATTCGAAAGTTGTCTTTAAGACACATTTATTTAAAATTGCTTTTGATGATTAACTTACTCTGTTCACATTGATGTATATTTCATATGTATTGTAATTTGTAGGTTTATTTGTAAGTTTTTGTTTTGTCTAATATGTAATTGTTTATCGTTGTATTTTGTTTGTTATAGCGCTTAGAGACTTTGATGGAAAGTGCTTTATAAGCACCGTTTTTATTATTATTATTATTATAAATGTTATCGTCATTTTGAATGTTCTATTCATTCAAATCAAATGAGGAAAAAAATGAATTGAATTGAATTAGAAGAATCCCTGTCCTGTACGGTTTAAGAATAAGGCTGTAATGTAGATTTGTACTTCTAAGGAGATAACATGTTTAAATTTTCTCTTGTTTTCTTACAGATCACCAAACAAGATTTCAAAGATTTTCAGTACATATTTGGGTTCGATCAGAGCAACATAAGGTATGTTTGACCGTTCTCACTATGATAATAATATACTTTTATATGTCTTTGGGCAAGGCATTAAACTAAATTTGCTACTCCATACCCAGGAGAGAAATAGGGACCTGGTAGGATGACAAAAGCCTTTGTTTTATTAATTGCCATTTGCCCTCACGGTGACCATATAGCAGGAATGCTCCCCAGGGAGTGGAGATGGTGCACATTGTGCATGAATGAATATGAATCCAATGACTGGGGTAATATTATCCTGAAAGCGCTATATAAATCCAGATTATTATTATTTCCTAAATTCTAACGGTAATTAATTGCTAGTGCCCGATCTCCTGATGTCTTTTTTGTTTAATGTGATGAGAATTGCAATAATAGAGAATCTTGGGTGCTTCGCAGGTTGTGGGTATGTTTGTTGAGAATTGATTTTAACAGTACCAGAACCTAACTTGGGGCTTGACCGATTAGCACTTTATAGACAATCAACAGAATCCTAGATTATATTATTTGGCATCCTGGTAGCCAGTACGTGCCTTTTAAAAAACAATTAGCTGGAATGCTCACCAGGGAGTGGAGAATGTCTACTATAATGTGCAGAAAAGTAATTGAATCCAGTGGCTGGAATGATGAGGATAATGTAGTGTTTTTGGTCATTTAATGGTAATGCACTATAAAATTACATTATTGTATAGAAGATATTATTATTATTATTGTTTTGTTTTGTACCTCGCTTTTCAGCAATATTAACAGGGTGAAACCAAAAGACAGCAAGTCACAAGTTCTCTTAATGGGAAAATATGGAAAGAACGGAGATGAAATCGTTGAAGACCCTTACTATGTAAGTATTTCTATATAAGCTACAGTCAATCCTGTCTTTAGTGGCTATCTCTCTACAAAGACTACCTGTCTATAGTGGTCATTTATTTTGTCTTACTTGAGATAGAAATTATGTAGAGTGGCAACTTATTCTCTTACCCTTGGGTGCCCTTAATAAATGGGTTCAACTGTACTACTACTACTACTACTACTACGAGTGCTACTACTACTACTACTACAACTACTACGAGTGCTACTACTACGAGTGCTACTACTACTAGTACTACTACTACGAGTGCTACTACTACTACTAGTACTACTACTACTACTACTACTAGTACTACTACTACTACTACTAATACTACTACTATTACTACTACTACTACTACTACTACTACTACTACTACTACCACTACGAGTGCTACTACTACTACTACTACAAGTCCTTCTACTACTACTACTACTTCTACTAGTACTACTACTACTACTACTACTTATACTACGAGTACTATTACTACTACTACTACTACTACTACTACTACGAGTGCTACTACTACTACTACTACTATTAATACTAATACTACTACTAATACTACTTCTACTAGTACTAATACTACTACTACTAATACTACTACTATTACTACTACTACTACTACTACCACTATGAGTGCTACTACTACTACTACTACAAGTCCTACTATTACTACTACTACTTCTACTAGTACTACTACTACTACTACTACTACTACCACTATGAGTGCTACTACTACTACTACTACAAGTCCTACTATTACTACTACTACTTCTACTAGTACTACTACTACTACTACTACTAATACTACGAGTGCTACTACTACTACTACTACTACTACTACTACTACTACTACGAGTGCTACTACTACTACTACTACGAGTGCTACTACTACTACTACTACTACTACTACTAATACTACTACTACTAGTGCTAGTACTACTACTACTACACATACTACTACAATTACTACTACTATTTCTACTACTTCTACTCCTGCTACTACTTATACTTATACTGCTACTTCTACTGCTACTACTACCTCTACCCACTTCTACTACTATTATTATTACTAATTATACTACTACTTTAACTACTACTGCTTGTACTACTGCCTTTACTTCTACTTCATGTACTTCCTATACACAAAATACTCACAGCGCTTGAATAAATAGTTGATGTTACAGTGTTACATACCCAATCCTAGGCCTCAGTTTGACAATGGTATTTACCTTGTACATTGTATGTATACTCTTTGGTTACAAAGAATGTACAACTTCACGATGATCATTTCATTGTTGTCTCGATAACTTGATTCAGAGCCTTGAAATATATACTAGATGCAGAAGTAGAAAGGGCAAACATTTCTGCAAACACATGCTTTTGCTGCCAGGAGTTAAAACAAAGAAGAGATAAGCTTTAAACTCCTTCAATTGGCAACACGCTGAGATGCTCAAAGTCTTCTTGTTGTTTTCTCTAATTTTTTTCCAACTTTTTTTTTTTTTATACAAAGTTTTAACCCATGCATAGTGTTTTCAGACACATTCAATTTTATAAAAAACGGAGGATTAAAAAAAAGATATTGTTGTTGCCATTTTAAAAAACTATATGTGATCAATTTAGCCACCCTTAGAAGTTCCCATTCCAGAAAGGGTTAAATGATGGTTGCCTGAGGATTAGTCATCGTTTGTTTTATTGCGATTATATTGTTTTGTATTGGTTTTGGTTCATTGAGATATAACAAATCATCAAACATAAAGCCAACAGCTAAAGTCGTTTAAAGATACATTAAAAGATATTGAGAAAAAAATTGTTACCGTATATATATTTACATGCGATTTACAAGTTTCATTGTTGATACAAAATTGCCATTTTTTGTGTGTAAAACAGGGGGTGTTTCACAAAGACTAAGATTGACTTAAGTTGGACTTGAACTATGGCAGGTCATTCATGCCACTGATTGCTCTAACAATTGGTCCCTCAATTATGATCTTTGGATAATATTTTTTCCTTCAACAATGAAATATCAAAAAAGGTAAATTCTATAGATTCGTGACCATGATTTGTACGTCAATTAATAATAATAATAATTATCCTTGCTTATATAGCGCCTAACACTTTATCAGAAGTCTCTAAGTGCTCTACAATAATGCAGTATAATTAATAAACCAATGCAAGGAATGGTTAGAGGAACTAGTGGCATGAACGGCCTGCCATACATGTAGCTCAACTCCAACTAATAAGTCAAGGTTAGTCTTTATGAAACAGCCCCCAGTATTGAATTTGGTTTCTTATTTTACGTTTCTCATTTTTCTTATTCCTTTCCTATTTACAGCATGACATGGCAGCTTTCGACACGATGTATGAGCAATGCGATCGTTGCGTACGAGCATTCATCGCCGAGGTTGAACCAGGCAAATAATTTAATAACAGCTTATCCTCTCTGACCTGGGGGGCGTTTCACGAAACTTGTCATCAGTGACAAATGACAATTTGTGTTATAAGCTACTGAAATCCTTGCTTCTGATTGGTTATCAGCAGATTTGTCAATGATTTGTGTTATTTGTCATTGAAAAAAGGCTTTGTGAAACGCCCCCCTGATCTGACACCCCTATATTCTCAGATGCCCTCATTTTTGCCATTCTGAGTCTTTGCGACCCTTCATTGCGCAAACTCATAGCACAGTTCTGCTTAAAGTCATTGTTTAACAATGTTAAATCTGAGATGCATGGCCCTACGAGTTATCAGTGTCTGTGATATGGTGTAATGTTGAAGCCTTACCGAAATTGAATTTTTAAATGATCATGAAGTGCATCAAAAGAGTACAAATCTTTGAGTGACTGGTTTTACCATACTCATTTTCCCTAATAGACTGTAATGTAATAAAAAAGGAAAATGTTTTGTTTTTTCAATTTCGATTTCCAATCATAAATATCTTGGTATTCAAACAGGCGATCGGGATCGGCTTGTAAAAGTCATGGGATTCCTGACTGACCTAAAGGTTTATAATTATGATTGCAGCATGAGTTAAATCCAGGATTTTGTTTCAGGCAAAGATACCCAATCCCCTTTGAACGGGGACACACGCTATTGCTATCGTGTTGAAAATAGAAATGACAAATGGATATCATGGAGACAAGAGTTTTGGTTTATTTCGTATTCATTACAGAAATATGGTATCTTAGGGGATTATGGGCTCGATACAAAGGCCATTTTCATAAAACTTGTTATCAATAACCATTTCGAATAAATGTTATAAGCTACTGAAATAGTGGCATTTGATTGGCTGAGAGCAAATTTTTCATAGAAATTTAGCATTTGCTATGGATAGCAAATTTTGTGACACAGGGCCCGGGTGCTCCATAAATAAGAAGAGTACCTTAACCCATCTACCTTTAATGAAGACTTATTTCTAGGTGACAGTGAGCTTTATAAACACTTGGGCCTGGTTTCATCAAACATGTCATCAAAAAGTAATGCTAAATTTATATGACAAATTGGCTCTCAGCCAATCAAATGCCACAATTTCAGTAGCTTATAACAGTTATTATTACTTGTTATTGATAACAAGGTTTGTGACACAGGGCCCAGGTGCTCCATAAATCAGTGGAGTATCTCTACCTATTTACCTTTATTGAAGACTTATGGTATTTCTAGGTAATAATGAGCTTTACACCTGGGCCTGGTTTCATTAAACATGTCATCAAAAAGTAATGCTAAATTTATATTACAAATTGGCTCTCGGCCAATCAAATGCCACGATTTCAGTAGCTTATAACAGTTATTATTACTTGTTATTGATAACAAGGTTTGTGACACAGGGCCCAGGTGCTCCATAAATCAGTGGAGTATCTCTACCTATTTACCTTTATTGAAGACTTATGGTATTTCTAGGTAATAATGAGCTTTACACCTGGGCCTGGTTTCATTAAACATGTCATCAAAAAGTAATGCTAAATTTATATTACAAATTGGCTCTCGGCCAATCAAATGCCACGATTTCAGTAGCTTATAACAGTTATTATTACTTGTTATTGATAACAAGGTTTGTGACACAGGGCCCTGCTGCTCCATAAATTAGTTGAGTATCTCTACCTATTTACATGTGAACTAAAGTTTAGGAAGGGGCTTTGATGACAGTGCCAATGGATTCAACCGCATTTTCACAATGCATTTGTGAATGCTATGGAAACGAGAGAAAATAATCATGCAAATAAGTTTAAAGGGATAGTTGAGTTCTGTTTTCAGACCGGAAATACCTTCAAAGTGCATGGTTATTGCTCTTATTCTTATCTATGACATTTATAGTGCCCTTTTAGAACCTAAAATTGCTATGAAGGTAATTTTAGACCCCAAAATGTGTGAAATTTAGCCAATACGATCATACCAGTTCAGCTTTACTTTCAAAAAAACATGGTGACCGCATTTTTCACAATGCATTTGTGAATGCCATGAAAACGAGAGAAAATAATCATGCAATTAAATAAATTTCAAGTTTGTTGCCCTCTGTATTTCTTAATGTGAGTTTGTTTCATTTCAACAATCTGATTCAAGAAATGAAGTACAGTATATTCAATAATTAAAAGCAAATTATGAGATTTCTTGAACTATTGTTGCATTTTATGTCAAATTAATTACATGCGTGAGAGTTTATTTTATTTTGACAATTTGATTCATTAAGTGAAGTGTAATGAATAAATACAAGTCAATTAAGAGAAATTTCATGAAATTTGTTGCATTTTATGTTCTATTTGCCTGTCTTGGGCAGACTCCAGTGTCTCCAGAATAAGTGTGCTTAACTAATCTTTCAAAAAACATGAAATGCTCCTATGCTAGCCCATTGTGAAATAAACTACACTGGTTACCAGTTGCGGACAGAATTCAAGACCGGGTACTTGTACAAACTTTTAAAGGCATCGTTTAACAATATATGTTAAACCTGAGATGCATAAGGCCCTACGTGTTACCAGTGTCTGTGATATGGTGTAATATTGAAGCCCTCAAAAAATTGCGCTTCAAACTGATCACAAAGTCCCTCAAAAAAGTAAAAATCTTTGAGTGACCGGTTTTGCCATACTCATTTCCCCTCATGGACAGTCGTGTTATAAAAACCATTAGGAAAACGCAAAATGAAATTTCGATTTCCGATCATAAATATATTGATAATCAGACGGGCAATCGGCTTGTAAAAGTCATGGGGTTCCTGACTGACCTAAAGGTTTATAATTATCATTGCAGCATGAGTTAATCAAATCCAGGATTTTGTTTCAGAATCTGAGACAAAGTTACCCAATCCCTAAAGCTATTTCAACCACTCTTCCCCAAAGAATCTCCTCTTTGAGCAGGGACCCGTTTCACAAAGCCTTTTTTCAATGACAAATATCAGTGACAAATCTGCTGATAACCAATCAGAAGCAAGGATTTCAGTAGCTTGTAACAACAACTGTCATTTGTCACTGGTGAAACACCCCCCAGGAGAGGACGTCAGTGATACAAAGACGTAACTCCATTTTAGCCATTTTGAGAAAAAGTGGTTGATGTGTCACTGAACACTTGGGCTTTAAAGGGATCGTTTAACAATGTTAAATATGAGATGCACGGCCCTACGTATTATCAGTGTCTGTGATATGGTGTTTTATTGAAGCCCTAAAAAAATCGTGCTTCAAAATGATCAAGAAGTGCCTCAAAAAAGTAAAAGCCTTAGTGACCAGTTTTACCCTACTCGTTTTCCCCAATAGACTGTATAATGTTATGAAAACCGTTTGTTCCTGACTGACCTTAACGTTTATAATTTTCATTGCAGCATATGAGCTAAATCAAGGATTTTTTTAAGGATTTAAGACAAAGTTACCGGATCCCTTTAAGGATCGAGTTAAGTCTATCAGTGTTTCACTAGTCATTGACTTTAACGAGGTGTTGGGTGGTATTAAGTATTTGTGTTTCTTGGAAAGCCCACATTTTTCTGAACATTTTGATATCAAATACTCATTTTTGCAATATATGGAGTACGTCTTTGTGTCACTGAACCCTCGATAATTGATCGGGGGTCAAGGATCACATTTTGTCTGCACTTTCTCATATCAGATAAACAAAACAAAACAGTGCATTGCCAAAATCGGTACAAAAATAATGTTGCAATTCTTAAATGATGTACATACTTCTTTAGTGAACATAATATACATTGCATCATGCTTCATTAAAAAAAATATATATCATTCTTCATTACATAATGATTTAATAACAAGTAGAGGAACCTATAAAAGAGGCAGAGCTTGTAAAGATATTAGTCCCCTTTTAGGAAAAAGTCAAACTTGTATTCAAGAATGAAAAAAAAGGGGGGGGGGGTAACGAGTTTAGTGCTAGGGCAGAGAGGGAAAGTGAACCGAATAGAATAGACGAGAAGAGGAGGAAGAAATGTGAAAGAACAGGGACCCGTTTCACAAAGTCTGTTTTCAATGACAAATGACAAATATCAGTGACGAATCTGTTGATAACCAATCAGAAGCAAGGATTTCAGTAGCTTATAACAACACCTGTCATTTGTCACTGATGACAAGTTTTGTGAAACACCAGCCCTCATAGAAGAAGCAAGTGGAAGAGAGAGCGAGCTAGAGGGGAAAAGGGAGAGAATTACGGTCTGGAATCATCTAAATTAATGATAAGTAATTTGTCTTTTATTTGTATTCATACACCGATCTTTAAAAGACTTTTATTTTCATTCGTAAATACACTGATTTCTAAATGACAGGTGAATTTGCTGAATCATATATACTACTACTACTACTACTACTACCACTACTACTACTACTAATATTCTACTTCTACTACTACTACTACTACTACTACTATTCTACTTCTACTACTACTTCTACTACTTCTACTACTACCTACTACTACCACTACTACTACTACTACTACTACTACTACTACTACTACTACTTTTACTACTATTACTATAGTGCCAAAATATTTTCGGAAATGGATCAAAGCAACCAAGAGGTAGAAGCGTGTGGCAGGTTGCATCCCCTCCCTTCCAGGTTATTAACTTTTTCAAGTCACCCTCAATAAAGATAACATTTCAGAGAATATAAGAGTGGTAATAAAATTAATAACATGCTAAATTTTGGTCCTGACTCTTGCATGCAGTGTAGGCCTACCACTACCACAACAACAACTACTACTACTACTACTACTACTACTACTACTACTACTACTACTACTACTACTATTCTACTTCTACCACTACAACTACTACTTCTACTACTACTACTACTACTACTACTACTACTACTACTACTACTACTACTACTTCTACTACTACTACTACTGCTACTACTACTACTACTACTTTTACTACTATTACTATAGTGCCAAAATATTTTCGGCAATGGATCAAAGCAACCAAGAGGTAGAAGCGTGTGGCTGGTTGCACCCCTCCCTTCCAAGTCACCCTCAATAAAGATAACATTTCAGAGAATATAAGAGTGGTAATAAAATTAATAACATGCTAAATGTTGGTCCTGACTCTTGCATGCAGTGTAGGCCTACCAGACTGATATCTATTTTTAAACGAAATTTAGACATTACCCCCCAAAAAAATCCAATGGTGAGGGAGATCAAATTGTGAAAGTATTATGTTACCAGTGGCCAAATGTATTAATAAGCAACCAGGAAAGGTTCATGTAGACAGAAAATTCTTTATTTCCTGGTGATAGAAACATACATTTTATGAATATTGATGTCTCCAAAGAACATTCATCGTGAAAAACTCATTCCAATATTCTATGTAAGGAGATCTTTAAAAAAAAATAGTTCTCATTAGTAAATGAAAACAATATTGCTTTTGGTTTTTCATTTGACTCTCTTCCTTCTTTAATTAAACCAACTGTATCCTCTCTGCGGGAAACTCAATTCAATGAAACAGAATATCACTGATGCAAAATTTGGTCCTCAAAATGACTGAAAATTTTCACTCCTGATCTCATACAAACTGTCTGTTTCTTAAAATCATAATATAAAACTTACGTTCCAACTACCAAACAACAAACTTCCATTATCTCCTTCTTTACTCAGATATACTTATCATACCAGATACGCTCTAAAATATAAGCATAATATTCCCCTAAGGCCCTGACCAGAGCACTATTTTTTTCTTCAAAAACTATAACCACTCTTAGAAGGTGCATTATTATTGGAAGGTTGTTTATTAACAAAACCTCAAACTTAAAGGGATAGTTGAACTTGAGTTCTGTTGCAAAGGGCGCTAAACAAAATATTTTGTTGTGAGATAATGAAAAACTGAGTGTCAAATTTGAAAGAACATACAATTTAAATGACAAAATCATCTTTGTTTGATCAAAATCGGTTCAGAAACGGCTAAAATTTCCATAAATATAACGATTTCTAAAACTTGTGTATATACCACCACAAATATTATATAATTTTGAAAAAGCCGTTGATAAAACAAAATAGCGCCTCAGTTTTACGACGTATTTCAGCCAATGCGTATGTTGGCTGTTTTGTTGGCATTTTCGTGTTCGTTATATTACGCGCAACCAGCCGGCTCATTGTTATTTGTAATAAAATAATTAATTAAAGGTCACCGTATTTATTTGAAAGTGAAGCCTGATTGGTATGATCGTATTGGCTAAATTTCACACATGTTGGTTTTTTTTAAATTACCTTCATAGCATAGGTTCTAAAAGGGCACTAGACATATCATAGATAAGAATAAGAGCAACAATGCATTTTAAAGGCATTTGCGGTCTGAAAACAGAACTCAACTATCCCTTTAATAACATTCTAACACCTTCAAAATCACCTTAACTATCTTATGCCTGTTACGTTTGAATACAATACATAGGCATACAACAGCTTTTCGATAAAACAGAAATAAGTTGTGACAGAATAATCTTTCTCCAAAATATCGAACTGGAGTATTCTGTTGTATTGCTTGTTTATGTACATATACTAGATCAATGTGTGTAACTTAAGAAAGAACTCTTTGTTTACTCGATTTGTTCAGTTGTCTATGGAAAATTGTTATTAAAAAATGCATGTGCTCATAATTTCTCTCGTAATTTAGGTTAATAATTTTGTTCAAGGTAAATAGAGGGAAATGTATATCATTATCTCCATTTGCTATCAAAAGATTTTGCTCCTTTCGGAAAATAGCTCTTCAAATGTATTACATGTTGAGATATAAATAAACAAAGAAATGGATGAAATCAATAAAACAAACTAGATACTGAGTATGAATCAGGGAACAAACTGAAAGTTTCGTCTCCTACATGCTTTCATTTGGACAAAACCGTCTTTCTCTTCAATGATACAATATTTTATTACTTTACTGTCCTGCATTATGAAAAAAAACGCATCATCAACCCGACATAGCTTTAAAAATCACTTCAGATTGAACTGGCCAAAAGTCGTGTGATATTCTTGCTCAGATGCTTTCCTTTACCTTTAAGAGTTCTTTATATTGAGGAATTGGTTGATAAATTTTTTTTCTTGGCAATAATGCCCAAAGTAAAAGAGTTAACAAAATACACGACTGTAACTTTTAGCGCGTTTTGAAAAATGTTTTAGGAAATATCGGGAAATAAAATGAGTGAAAACACAAACAAATAAAGATACAATGACGTGAATTTTTAAAAGGGTGAACAGAAACAACATAACAACTAGTGGACTATCTTATAAGTCATACTAGTGTCCGAAAATCTTTTTCCTTGTCTCCGATCTCATCACGAATTCGTCACGGAGTTCATTTTTGTTTATGATGAATTTAGGGGGGGGGGGGTGTGATTGTACAGGCCACCCCCCCACCCGAAATATTGGGGGGGGGGGGTAGGGGGTATGTCCCCCCTCCCCATCCCCCCGGGATCGACACCCATGAGTCTACTACTACTACTTTGACTACTATTACTACTACTACTACTACTACTACTACTTCTACTATTCTACTGCTTCTACTACTTCTACTTTAAAATTCAAATGCATGTTTATATGCAAGATTATTCTGTCTGTATTCTACTCCGTCTACATCCATTTGTAGTATAATTGAATGTTGAATTCTTAAATAATTCATGCTTATTGTTAAAGTCCCTTTGAAATTTTCCAACCACAAGCATCTTAACCGTCGCACTTTTGTTGCTGCAGACACATGGTGACCCCCAAACTTCCCTATTGTCTCATTGATCGACAAAGGGCAGTCCAGCCAGTGATCATTCAAGATGAGCGGAGTCTATAGCGAAGAAACTATAGCGATCAATAAAACCGATTTCTCCCCAAGTCTTTTTCTATCTCGCTACGCTACGCTCTACGCCTTATATTCGGATAGCTAATTGTATAGTATTTTGGTACACACGACGACTCTTAAACTGTTTTGAAAGTCTGTTTAACTGTTTCGTTTTTATATAGAAGGACTATAACGGCAATATATGACGTAAACCGAGTTTCTGAGGTAAGTAGGCCTACTTAGTTTCTGGTTTATTGACATCACACATTATAATACTCACTGTTGTTGTAACATTATTTTTTCGGGATGTGTGAGCTAGCGCTTGACCATTCAGCATACTCTACAAGATTTTCAATACATTAAGTGGATGCATATTGGCCTGTTTATTAATCTTTTCTTGTTCGGAAAGCACTTAAATGTCCCAAGTGCTTAAAAGAAATATTATTTCATGCGTTTCTTCTTTTTATGAGCTGTAGTAATATAATAATCAGCGTTAACATATAATTAATTATATACATGTTTGTTTGTGTATATATATAATACCCTACATGGTACATAAAGTGGACATCATAAAAATCCTAACCCTAATCCTAAAACCTAACCCTAAACCTTACCCTATTATGTCTACCTAATTACTTTCTTTTTTAAACCAAATGTCCCTCCAATGACGCCTTTCGTAAAATTACATATATAGAGAGAAATATATAATAGAAGTGGGTCTTCTATGAGAAATAAAACGTAAAAAACGTTAAGAGGACACCAAATTGTCTTCCTAATGACAATGTATACTTAATGAATCATTCTTTCACTATAAATGTCCCTCTAATGACGCCTTTAGTTAAATATACACTGTCGCTCATAAAGTTGGAATATTTTTGTTTTACCCCAATTTATGGAGTTATTTTAAAAATAATTTGAAAATAATAGATCTAGATAATAGTATACATTCTCAGATTTTATTGAATAATAATTTGCAAATGTGTGTTTTCCGTGACTGATATTTAAGCATGTGTATGCTACTATTCTTATCAACCAGAGGACCTACGCCCTTAAGTCATAAATGACAGTAATGAGGATTAATGCCCCCACAAAAGGGCTCTAATATAGCACATCGACACGGTTTTATTCCTGGGGCCTCACAGTTACGAGGCCATTGCTTTGTCACTGAACCATAACTGTATGCAGCGGGGGCTAGGTTAGGGGGCAGTTTCCACAAGTTTAAAAAAAAAAATGCAATAAATTGTCAATAATTTATTGCATTTTACCCCGGTCCCCAACATAAACAAATCCTCTGGACGGCCATGTATTATGGTTCAAGGCATGGGCACACAGAGGATTTTGTTATGTTGGGAACCAGGGTAAAGTGCAATAAATTATTGAAAATTTATTGCATTTTCTTTTTAAAATTTTACTTATGGAAACTGCCCCCTGACCTAGCCCCCGCTGCGAACAGTCATGGTTCAGTGACAAAGCAATAGCCTCGTAACTGTGAGGCCCCAGGATCAAAACCGTGTCGATGGGCTATATTAGTGCTCTTTTGTGGGGCATTAATCCTCATTACTGTCATTACTGACTTAAGGGCGTTGGTCCCCTAGTTGATAAGCATAGTAGCATACACATGCTTTAGCAGCCACGCAAAACACACATTGTCCAATTATTATTCAATAAAATCTGAGAATGTATAGTATTATCTAGATCTATTATTTTTTTTATTTTTTTAAAAATAATTCCATGAATTGGGGTAAAATAAAAATATTCCAACTTTATGAGCGACAGTGTACATTATGAAAGGACCGAGTTGTGCTGGGAGTTTGAAATTACGCCCCCAAAAAAGGAATATTAATTAAAAGTACGGATCGAGCATCATTTAATTGTTTATATATTATAGTATCTGCGCCAAATAAATCATTGTTATTATTATTATTTGTTATTGTTCTTGTTCTTACTCTAATCATCATCTTCATCATCATTGTTATCAATACACCTTTTCATTTTTGCATTGCCTTTCAAACCTCTATACTACAGTGAATCAAGAAGGATGAGATACACAGCACTCACGCGCGATGCCGTGGTGATAGTAACTATTTTTCTCCTGGTCATATGGTTTTGGAGTACTATTATGACGTCACCGGATAACGTATCTTTGATAAGGGAAACCGAAGAACCCAGACGTAAAGTGGGGCACGTGACCATCGGTAAGTTGCTCGCCCCGCCCCCTTTCGAAAAATCATTTTTAAAATGTATTCCAATTTATACATGTTGACCTAGCAACAGGTTTTCTTAACCAGTTATATATTAGCTAGTGTATTTCAATAGTCAAAATAACAAATACAATAACACCTTTAATCGTAAAAAGGGCCTAGGAAGGTCCAATCAATGTGAAAAATTAGCATGGTGATATATTGAAGTATATTGAATAAGATGGTAATGTTTATTTTCTTTTATGTTTATTTATTTTGTATCAATATTTTAATGACAATATGCATTTCTTTTTTGGTGGGGGGGGGGGGGGGGGGGGAAATATACTTACACACACAAAATTGTGAGAATTACATATTTTGATAGACATGTGATGATATTTTGTCACCTAACACCCGAACCATAGGTTCGCCCATTACAAATTTGGTATCAAAATGTGCGGGAGAAATTTCAGCGCCAAAGGTTCAGGGGTTTTGATGCAGCGGCAAAATTTCGACGGGGGGGGGGGGGGCATTATAGTGTTAAGTCTATATTATGCATCAAATAAGATTACATTACGAAAAAATGAATGGCCAATTTAATTCAGCATATGAATAATTTAGAAATAGTAGCGTCGAGGAAAATACGATCACGATCAACTAAAGGGCAATTTCAGGGCCGGTTGTACTTTTGTGTCATGTTCAAATGATATCCTTTCTCATTGTGCTATTCAATAGGCGGCGAACATGTGTGATCATGATTGATATAAATAAATAATCACAAAGAATTATTGTATAATACAAAAAAAGTTGATTGATCGGTGAGATCAGAGAATGATATATGTAATGTATTTAACATTATTTAAGTAATTCAATTAAATGATGGAATTCTATTTATGTCCCACCCCCCAAAAAAAAACCTCCACCCCTCCCCTCTCTCCCATTCTCACCCTCCCCTCTTTCTTTAACTCCCTCCCCGTCTCTTCCCACCACACTCTCTCTCTCTTCCCTCCTCTCTCTCTCTCTCTCTCTCTCTCTCTCTCTCTCTCTCAGATCTCCCTCCAAACAATAGCAGTTCGGATGCCACTGGATGCAGTGATTATAGGTTCATGCCCCCGGGGACTTTCCCTTACATCGCCCTGGCTAGTGTACAAGGCAGCGGGAACACGTGGGTTAGATGGCTTCTCCAGAGTACGACTGGGTTCTCTGCAGCCAGCGTCTACAACGAACCACACACAGCAGGTTCCTATAATAAACCTCTTATATATATTTACCCCCCCCCCCGTTAGCAAATGGGCGTATATACACAGGGGGCACGAACCAGGCCCCTCCCACCCTCCTGACAAAAAATGTCACCCACCACCCCTGACTAGACCTCTGTTTGGGTGCGTGGGTATGTGGGTGTGTGTATGTGTGTGTGTGTGCGTGTGTTTGTGTGGGTGAGTGTGTATGCGTGTTTAAATATGCATCTGAATTCGTGATTTCGTGTGTGAACCTTGTCCGTCTACCCCTCCCCCCTCCCCCCACCACCACCACCGCACCACCACCGTTCAACAATGCTGGATACATCAGGGCTCTGTTTCATAAAACTTGATATCAATAACAAGTTATAAGCTACTGAAATCATGGCATCCGATTGGCCGAGAGCAAATTGTCATAGTAATTTAGCAGTTGTTATGAATAACAATTTCTGAAACGGGCCCCAGTGCCCGTTACCTAATAACTTTGCCATACTCTAGTCCCAGACCTATATTACCCTTTTCCTATAACAATTCACACATATGAATTTATGAAATATTCATGTTAATATATTTCAAAATGATTATACAAATGATTACACAAGACAGATGTTAAATCACGTTTGTCCTCTAAATGAATGATAGAAAATAAGAATAATAAAAGTAGGCCTAATGATGATAATACTCGTTAATTTTACCATTTGTTTTGGAGATTGGCCCCTCCCCTGGCGCTCAAGGAGGGGGGGGGGATGCAATTCTTCGAGGCCCCCCCCCCCCCACAACAAAAAAATAGTGCTCACTAACCCCCCCCCCCCCCCACACTGAGCGAATTATCGGCCGGCGCGATTCACTACCCCCCCCCCCCCCCTGAGCGAATTATCGGCCTGCTTTTTCGCCGCTAAATATTTTCTCACGAATTGGGCCCCTCCCCTGCCGCCGGCTGGATCCGCCCCTGGTAGTAGTAGTAGTAGTAGTTATAGTAGTGGTAGTTGTAGTAGTAGTAGTAGAAGTCTTAGAAGTAGTAGAAGTAGAATAGCAGGAGTAGTTGTAGTAGTGGTAGTAGTAGTAGTAGTAGTAGTAGTAGTAGTAGTAGAAGTAGTATAGTACGTAGTACGTAGGATTCATAGTAGTGGCAGTAGTAATGAGTTAAATTATTATCATTATAATAGTAGAAGTAGTATTAGTAGTAGTAGTGATAGTAGTAGTAGTCGTGGTGGTATTAGTATCAGCATCATCGTCATCATTATCATCATCGTCATCATTATCATTAACAAACTTAATTTCATTCATATCATAATCACTTCTATTATCGGTAAATATAATTGTATCATTATTATTCATCTTATTCAAAAAGCTGATATGGATATTGGATTTTTTCAGTAAAGATATTAATGCACAGTGAAATATAATATAAAGACCGCTCAAAGTAGACTCGAATAGTGGTCTTTATATAGACAGGGGGTTTTTCTATACAGGTGGTCGCCAAAGCAGGTTTTACTGTAGTTTAAAATACACGCCGATATCCCAAAATAATTCTAAATACTCTTTTTAACGCCATTATTTTCCCTTTAGGTTTTCGAGAAGAAAAGTGTCTACCTTGCAACGGACAGGCTTTGGTGGTCAAGAATCATGCTGGCATAAAAGAACCGATAGATGGTGCTATAATCATTCTACGGAATCCATACAGCGCCCTCATTGCTGAGTTCAACCGAAGGAAATCTGGTAAAGATCATGTCGGTTATGCCCCGATACATCTTTTCAATAACTCAGGTGAGTTATTCTCGTCTATTTTGTTATTTATTTATTCTGTGTTCTTTATACAGGGTAGTCTCTTCAAAACATACAAAACCGCTTTGCAAGAAAGCCCTGTATTATGTAATAAAATTAAAATACATGTGAAACGCACAGACAACTTATTGTTTTTAAAGTACAATACGTATTATGTTTCACATGATTAGTTTCATTAAAACTTGCCGACGTAGCAATAGACACTTCATGCGTCGGCCAAAGCTATTAAACTAACCCCTCTCCCTCTCTATCTCTCTCTCTCTCTCTTTCGCTCTCTCTTTCTATAGATACAGTGTGGCCCCATTTTGTGAATGGAATGCCCAACAAGTTTGTGAGTCTACTTAAATTGTACATCCATCAAAACAAGCCTATTCACATTGTATTTTATGAAAATCTCAAGAAAGACGTGGAGAAGGAACTCCGAAAAATGCTTCAATTCCTAAAGGTCGATATCAACGAAAAACGTTTAACCTGTACACTGTCCAACGCTGGGGGCGCTCATCACAGGACCTCCAACTCAAGCATGACGTTTGATCCTTTCTCCATGGAGCAGCGTTCATTGATAGATGATATTATTAGTAGGATGGATGTCATCTTGAAGAATAACAATCTACCAGCGTTACCAGAAGAATATTGGATATATCCCGGACCCTTTCCACGATGATGTTTACGATACATGGTACTACACTGTCGGTCATAATGGTAGAATAATTATTTTTACCCCAATTTATTGAATGATTTTGACAATGATTTATTCCTAATAGATCTAGATAATAGTATACATTCTCAGATTTTATTGAATGACAATTGGGGAGTGTTTGTTTGCGTGACTGCTAAAGCATGTGTGTGCTACTATGCTAATTAACTAGGGGACCTACGTCATTAAGTCATATCTGACAGTAATAGGGATTAATGCCTCATAAAAGGGCACTAATAAAGCACATCGACACGGTTTTGAGCATGGGGCTCACAGTAACGAGGCCATTGCTTAGCCAATGAATCATGACTTTACGCAGCGGGCGCTAGGGTACGTCGACGCCCCCCCCCCCCCACACACAAATAAACAAAGAAAATACAATAAATTATGAATGATTCATTACATTTTCCCCCGACCCCCAATAGGAAAAATTCCTCTGTAGGGCCATACATTATGGTTCAAGGCATGCCCACATAGAGGATTTTGTTTATGTTGGGGGTCGGGGAAAAATGCAATGAATTATTGAAAAATTATTGCATTTTCTTTGATTTTTTGTTTTTGTGGGGGCGTCGACGTACCCTAGCGCCCGCTGCGTACAGTCATGATTCATTGGCTAAGCAATGGCCTCGTTACTGTGAGCCCCCAGGATAAAAAACCGTATCGATATGCTATATAAGTGCCCTTGTATGAGGCATTACCCCCATTACTGTCAGTTATGACTTAAGGACGTAGGTCCCCTAGTTGATTAGCACACACATGCTTTAGCAGTCACGCAAATCAAACACTCGCCAATTGTCATTCAATAAAATCTGAGAATGTATACTATTATCTAGATCTATAAGAAATAAATCATTGTCAAAATCATTCAATAAATTGGGGTAAAAATAATTATTCTACCATTATGACCAACAGTGTAGTACCATTCATGCTTTATTATCTTTTGTGGAGAAAGTAGCTCATGCTATTGACAAATCCTCTCATATGGTTGGTATTTTCCTCGACTTCTTCAAGGCCTTTGACACAATAAACCACGATATATTACATTCCCATTACGGCGTACGTGGAAAAGCTTTGGAGTGGTTTAGTAACTATCTTTTTAACAGAAAGCAATATGTATTTTTAAACGATTGGCATCAGAATTATGTAATGTTAGCTGTAGCGTTCCACAGGGAAGCCTCCTAGGTCCACTTTTATTTATTCTTTATATATAAATGATTTCTGCAGGTCATCTCATATTTTATCGTTTATAATTTTTGCTGACGATACGAATCTGTTCTTTTCCCACAACAGTCCATACACCCTTATGCAAACGGTTAATTCTGAACTACCAAAGATTCTACAATGGATTAGAGCAAACAAACTTTCACTTGATCTCTAAAAAAACTAATTATATGTTGTTCAGTAATACTATAGATTCACTGCCAGGCAACATTGTATTCGATGACGTCCCATTGGAGAGTGTTTCTATCACTAAGTTTTGGGGCGTAACAGTCGACAATAAACTCTCCATATTGACAACATCTGTATTATTTCTCGTAATATTGGTGTCATGAATAGATTAACAACTCATCTCCCTTTATCTTTCTTAATTACGCTAATATTCTTTGCTGGTCTTACCATATCTAGATTATGGACTCCTGGTGTGGGGTAATACACACATAAATTTGTTAAACAGAATCTCATTATTAAAAAATAAAGCTCCTCGTATCATTTGTCTTTCTCATTTTCGCTCTCATACCGATCCTCTTTACTTTAAAAATAAAATATTGAAAGTTAAAGATCTTTATCTCTTTCAGTAAGGCAAATTCATGTATTCTTATAATAACAACATGCTTCCTTTCGTTTTCGATGATAATGTTCACCCTTTATAAATCCTCTCATAAGTACCCAACTCGGCATTGTAATGACTTTCAATAACCTTTGCTGGGAACCCTTTTAGCTCAAAACACGTTAATTCAACAGCCCCAAATTTTGGAACTCTATTCATTTTGACATTCAACTTGCCCCCTCTCTGAATTAATTTAAGAGGAAATTGAAATTGTGTCTTTAACTTCTTTTACTTTTTTTACGCTCTGTATGTATCTTTCTATAATAGTGGTCACTACCCCCTGCATTGTGCACATCGTGCTCTCTCTCTCTCTCTCTTTCTCTCTCTCTCTTCTTTCTTCTCTTCTCCACCTCTCCTCCCTTTTTCTTTACTCATCACATATGCCGCAACATTTTCTATTCTTCCATTTATCTTTTTCCTTGCTTTATTTTCTGTTGTCTTATATATTCTTTTTTAATTATTATTATTTATGTCTTATCTGTCAGTCGTCAATGTCTCTGTTAACCTTTCCAGTGCTCACTTTATTTTATTGTAACAAGTTTTCAAATTACTGATTTATAGATGTATTATTATTCTGCCACTTCTTGTTAATCTATGCATATTTCTTTTTTCAAGTCGATATATTTACATGTTACAAAAAATATGTTTGTCATTATTTTGAGGGATCCACATTTTATAAGCTCTGCTTTTCAGTGAATCTCTCCATTTCCACAGGTTTATATTTAAAAAAAAATTAAAACCCATTAGGCCTATACCGGATATTTATGTATACTTTCTATTTCACAACTTTAAACCATGCAAAATGTATCATATTATTGAATGTTGAATTGTATATCTGATTTTTTGTCAAAAATAACTGTTCTGTTGGGAATGAAAAATAAAAACTGAAACTGAAATTATATACCAGAAGGATATTGGATATACGATCTTTATGTTTACGATATATCGGTATTCTCGAGATTAACATATATGGATATCATTCATGTGTGCTTTGTGTGATAGTAGTTAATCAGTATTATACCTAAATAATACTAGAGATTCCACAAACTCTGCGATAGCTCAACAGCTTTCTTTTTTTCGGGGGGGGGGGGGGGTGCATTTTAATTGATTCATGATTTATTTATCTGGATTTATTTAGAGTTTTAGAGGGGAAGACAGGTTATTTACAACTTGTCCTTGTATCATTTGATTTTAAATGTTTTGTGAATTCTTTGTGATCTATATTCCAAATTAATGATGCTTGAACCAGTTTCAGTGTATATGCGTGTTGGAGGGCGTAGGGAGGGGGGGGGGGGGGCATTGGTTTGTCACAGAAACGGTAGTGGCGTTTGGGTTGCAGGTTAGCATTACTTTCATCCAATGCCTTTCAATATAACAAAAACAAATGTAGGACGCGTACAGGTTTTAAAACAAACCATCAAGTATCACCATTTTTTCATTTTTCATTTTTCATTTTTTAAAGCTTTGTAGCTATTGGAATAGGTAAAGCTTTTGAGATGACGCTTTCTACTACTACTTCTTCCTATACCTTTCCCCCTCTCAGCCTTTACTCTTCCTCGTTAAATCTCTCCCACTCTTAATTTCAATAAGTTAAAGTGTATTTGCAAACATTACTCCTCACTTTTCAGTTTTACTCTCGATATTTTCCACCACATAGGCTACACTGCTCCATCTACCGTTTACTGCTTACTTCAGTCTTTCTTCTTTCACATGATTTCAGTAGAACTTTATGCTATTTAATTAAGATTTCTTTCTAATTTATGTTTCCATATGTTGCAATAAGCTATATTTCTCGTAGTTATACTGATTTATTTTTCAAATTCAATATATCATGTTATGCTTTGTTATATATTACATTATGTGTTGTTAATTTTGATTGTAAACTTTTGTAATTCGGCTAAGCGCCGCGACGGAAGTTTTATTTGACATAAACCATTTTGAATTTAATTGAATTGAATTAAACTACACTGGCTTTCAGTTATCGACAGAATTCAATATCGGATATTTGTACAAAATTTTAAAGGCATCGTTTAACAATGTTAAACCTGAGATGCATGGCCCTGCGTGTTATCAGTGTCTGTGATATGGTGTAATATTGAAGCCCTCAAAAAATTGCGCTTCAAACTGATCACGAAGTCCCTCAAAAAAGTAAAAATCTTTGAGTGACCGGTTTTAAATTGCCATACTCATTTCCCCTCATAGACAGTCGTGTTATAAAAACCGTTAGGAAAACGCAAAATGAAATTTCGATTTCCGATCATAAATATATTGATAATCAGACAGGCAATCGGCTTGTAAAAGTCATGGGGTTCCTGACTGACCTAAAGGTTTATAATTATCATTGCAGCATGAGCTACTTAAATCCAGGATTTTGTTTCAGAATCTGAGACAAAGTTACCAAATCCCTAAAGCTATTTCAACCACTCTTCCCCAAAGCATCTCCTCACTCTTTGAGCAGGGACCCGTTTCACAAAGCCTTTTTTTTCAATGACAAATGACAAATATCAGTGACAAATCTGCTGATAACCAATCAGAATCAAGCATTTCAGTAGCTTATAACAACAACTGTCATTTGTCACTGATGACAAGTTTTGTGAAACATCCCCCAGGAGAGGACATCATATCGAGGGGTCAGTGACACAAAGACGTAACTCCATTTTAGCCATTTTGAGAAAAAGTGGTGTAGGCTATGTGTGAACACTTGGGCTTTAAGGATCAAGTTAAGTCTATGTCTCATTGACTTCAATGAGGTGTTGGGTGGAGTTAAGTCTTTGTGTTTCTTGGAAAGCCCACATTTTTCTGAATATTTTGATATCAAATACTCATTTTTGCAAAATATGGAGTTACGTCTTTGTGTCACTGAACCCTCGATAATTGATCGGGGTTCAAGGTTCAAATTTTGGTTGCACTTTCTCATATCACATAACATCAATAATAAAACATAAACAAAAAAAAACAGTGTATTGGGTACAAAAATAATGGTGCAATTCTTAAATGATGTACAAGTTAGTGAACATAATATACATTGCATCATTATAACAGAATTGTAAAAAATAATCATTCTTAATTACATCATAATTTGAGAAAAAGTGGAAGAACCTATAAAATAAGCAGAGCTTGTAAAGCTATTAGTCCCCTTTTCGGAAAAAGTCAAACTTGAATTCAAGAATGAAAGAGGGGGGGGGGGGGGGGTAACGAGTTTAGTGCAAGGGCAGAGAGGGAAAGGGAACAGAGT